AGAGGAAAGATTGTTTTTAGTGAAAGTAAACATAAAAAGTGAAAGTAATTAAAGGAAGATTGGTTGGGGGTGGGGAGATTGTGAGACCTGATATGTAATGAGCGGAAAGGGAAATTTTATAAATGTGTGATAAAAGATAGAAAATATGGAAATCTTTAAATGAGGGGAAATTACCCAAAATAGGAGCAAATGACACTTGCGTGGAATTCCAAAATTAGGAATAGTATATTTTTCTTCCCCAAATAGGAGTTGTTACTGTCATGTATGAAAAATATTGACATGATTGAAAAATACTGTCATTAATTATAATGAATACTGTCATGTTAAATGCACTGTACTACAACTATTTGGCAGTCATGGCTACAAGATGACAGTAAATACTACCATGTTAGTCTCATTTCGGGAATAAAAACAAAGTAGTCCTATTTTGGAATTTCAAACTTCATTTACTCCTATTTTAGGAAATCGAGACATCCAAATAAGGAAAGTGAGAAACGCGACGAAAGGAATACATTAAAATGATTCACGTCCATAAAAAGTTTTAATGAATTATCTATTTAAATTTTTAACATCTTTATTACTAGTTACTAATTATCTTCAACTTGTTTTTCTTTGACTTATTCCTAAAACCATATTTGTATATCTACGGGTACAAATATAAAGGCGTTTATGATATTTTTAAGAGATAATTACCTATATAGGACTAAAAAATAAGAATTATGCATAAATAGGACTTAAGTTTCCCGTGAGATTTAGTAGGAGTAAAAAAGAGGTGACCTGACATCAATGCCCTTAATGAAATCTCAAGCACAATTATTTATTAATAATTTAAATCAAAACATAAAAAACAAACAGTACAACAGATAATCAATGACACAACCCTAGGGCCAACTAACACCCACTCCGACGTTGCCGCCTCCACCACCACATGCACCACAGGAAGCCCAATCAGTGACCCCATCTGGACTTGCCGCCAGCCGCCGCCATATCCCAACATCTTCACCGTCACCTCATCCCACACCACCATCTCTCACCTTCGTGAACAATGCGACCTCTGGCACCATCACCTACACCACCACCGTAGATCTCAGATCTAATTTTGAATCTGGTATGACTACCAGTCAATTGCCATCTTACAGTTGTAATATCATCTTAATGGTATTATTGCTATCCTGAAAAAATAAGATGACATTTTTAATTAAAAAATATGGCATTAATGTATTATCAAATGAGAAGTATTGTCATCTTTGTTACAAATTTAACAACATCAGGGAAAAACAAAGTTACAAGACTGAAATCAATGTCATTATAAAAAATGGCATTATATGTCATTCAATGTCACTATTTTCATTTAAATGACATTTAATGTCATAAAAATGGCATTATATGTCAAAAAAACTTTCATAAAAAATGACATTATATGTCAAAAAAAAATCTTTTCATCTTAACACCATAAAATTATTTCAAAATACTGAATATGTCAATTTTAGATTCAAATCTGAAAATGAATCTGAAAAGTTACAGGACTGAAATCAATATCACTATATTGCAATAGTTAAATTTGAACCAAACTAAATCTGGAAGAAAACATCGGAGTGAAAATATAGAAGAAAGCAACGACAAAAAAACGCTGATGCTCAAAACAAATCTGGAAGAACAAAAGAAAGTGAAGCAAAAAACAAATAAAAAATGCGAATAATAAACCTGGAAGAGCAACTTTACGATGCAAAAAACAAAAGAATATGGTGTGCCATCGAGTGAATGAATAGAAAAGAGGAGGAGGAGAAGAAGAAGAAGAGGAAGAAGAGAAAAAGAATTTATACCTGGTCTCTGCCGGTCCGCCGCCACTCACCGCCGGTCTCTACTCACTGGTGGCCGGAAATGTTAAAAAATTCATGATCTATACCTCTAAAATCGGCAGAGATGAGAGAAATTGAATTGAGAACAACACAGTAAAATTGAAGTTGTTAGAGAAGGGAGGGGAAAAATGAGATTTAGAGACTTAGAGACTGAATGCACCATAGATGAGTGAGGGAGAGGAGATGAGAGGAAAGAGACGGAAGAGATGAGAAGATAAAGTAACGATAGAGACAAACGATGGATAAGGGTATAATAGATAGACTAATTAAATCAGTCCTATTCAGGGAAAAAATAAAATATAACTCCTATTTTGGAACTTTTCTATTATTTTATTTCTATTTAGGGCAAATACTTTATTTTTAATTGGAGCAATTTTAGTCCTACATCTGACCAAACTTAAATAGATCAGATTAGATCCTATCACATTTAAACATATCAAGTCAGACCAGACATGCCTTAGATGAAAGTGAAATACATTTCTTCACCAGAGATTTATGTGATCAAATTTAAATAGATCAAACCAGAATAAAAATATTTTTTCAAAACTTTATACAAAGTACTACCTCCGTCCCTTAAAACTTTGCCAAAATTTACCGACACGGAAAATAATAAAGTAAAAACGGTGTGGTTGAGGTTTGTGCAGAGGAGAGAGAAATAACTGAAACTAGAAAATAATTGATTAAAAGGGAAAGTGGTAAAGTTTTTGGGGACGTTCCAAAAAGGAAAGATACAAAGTTTTAAGGGACGGAGGGAGTATATAAAATCAAAATCAAACACAATTGAGGAGTGCGTCGTCCGCATAGCAAAATCAAAGCACAAATTTGAAGGCAATTCGATTACAGTGCGAAGATGAGGATCAAAATTTCCAATTAAAGTTTTTAAAAGAGTAATGTAGTAATATAGAGGTTACATTAAGCAATTTAAAGGGTAATTAAAGGGTGCGCGTAGCAACAGGGAAATTTATTTAAATTTTCCAATAAAACTTCTATACTAGGAAAAGGAAGGTTTGTTCCTTATTTAAGGACGGAGTAAGTATATAAAATCAAAATCAAACTCAATTGAGGAGTTCGCCATCCGCGTAATAAAATCAAAGCACAAATTTGAAGGCAATTCGGTTACGGTGCGGAGATGAGGATCAAAATTTCTAATTAAAGTTTTTAAAAGGGTAATGTAGTCATATAAAGGTTACATTAAGAGCATGTTTGGTGTCAACCAGCTTATCAGGCAACCAGTTACATAAAGTTTTTAAAGGTTACATTTTGACTTATCAAGCTTATCAACCAGCTTTTCACTCAACACGTAATTTTTGTTTTCGCGTGCTGAATTGTGAAAAAAAATGTAAGACTGAAGTTGCTTTTCTGACTGTAGAAAATTATTTTAGCTATTTTTTCATATACTCCGTAATTTTTTCATTTTAAAAATGTTTGTTTTCTTAAAGCGGCAGAATGAGCCAATTCAACGTTACTAAACGGGTTTTAGATAATTTAAAGGGAGCGCCTGCCAACATCCTTAGAGCATCTCCAATGCTAAAACTTTAACGGTGCATACGTGACATGAGAAATAACCAATTAAAAAATAATAAATATAATATCTCTCTCATTGAAGGATCTTACATCATTTTGGTAAGTTTTTCTTCACAATGTCAAGCACAATGTCTAGATGTAGACATTGTGGTTGACCTTGCAGACAAAACTTACCAAAACTACATAAGACCATGGAAAGAATGAGAGAGAAATGTTATAAAATCAATATTTTGTGTCTATCTCTCTCATGCCACATGTGCACCGTGCACATTGTAGCATTGAAGATGCTCTTAGGGAAATTTATTTAAACTAGGGGTGGGCATAAAACCCGAACTGAACCGGTTTTAGAGGTTCAGAAACCCAAACCCTCTACTCCCATAATGGTACCGAACCGAATACCGGATATATAAACGGTTCTATAAATTTTTATCCCATACCGAAACCGTACCGTTTGAAACGGGTACGGGACCGGTCCTAGATTTTGAGAACCGAAAAATACCGGACCGAACCGTTCGAAAATAATGCATTTGACTTTTTTATATCTTTTCTATATCAATAGTTCTCTTTTATAAATCAACAATTTTATACCCCAAATATGTATTCATGTGTCCCTAAGATATCTAAATGTGTGTGTTTTATATATATATATTGCTATTTTTTCTTTTTATATAATTTATGTTCTATTTTGGTATGTATCGAAGGAATATTAAAATTTTAGAAATCATTAATGACTATTCATTTCTACTAATGTAGTGTAAATGACTTTTTGTTGTATCATGTTTGTGCAATTTTTACAACCTAATTAATATGGCTTAAATCTTAGCTTTCAAGGTTCAATTATAAATTAAATTAGAACTACAAAGTAATATTTAACCTAGAACGAAGAAGAACAACGTTGAAGATTTCTATTATATTCAACAATTTGATGATATTCGTTTTTATATATTCACATGAACTTAGTAAATTAAAGATGATGTTTATCTCGTGCGTCATTATTTTGCTATATTTTTTCTTAGTTGTGTTACACTATTTTTGTATTTGTGAATTTTAGTACTATGTATGCAATTTCTTGTATTTATTTCAACATTTCATGTGAGTTGGTTGGTTTGATGATATCTACTAATTGCAAGATTTGTTCAATTTTTTTAGCACGTGTTTGGCATTGTATCGTATCGTTCCGAAACGACATGGTATCGAACGATTCTATCCTTGGAACCGGACCATTAAAACCTCACGGATACATTATGAGTTTTACCAATTTACCGGACCGTTCCGGACCACGCCCACTCCTAATTTAAACTTAAGTTGGATTTGGGGTACACACTTTTGGTGTACACACTTTTTACACATGTCTGTGTAAGGTTTTTTTTATGTCTGTGTACCTTTAGAATTTTTCTTTAAACTTTCCAATAAAACTTCTATACTATGAATATAAAATCATAGCGAGAGAGCTAAAATCAATCGCTAGAAGGAGGGGTTGAACCTCCGACCTTGTGGTTAACAGCCACACGCTCTAACCAACTGAGCTATTCCAGCTTTTGTGAAAATTCACTTTATTTACCATTTTATTTCAAAACCAAAACATATATGGTGCTTTTAGCCTGCCCAGGTCGCCGTCCGCCAGGCAAGCGCAGAAAGGAGCGGAAAGAATGAGGAGCAGAGCTTTTCGCCTGATTTCAAATCGCCGTTTTACTACAGAGTCAGAAACCCAAACCCTCTACTCCTTTCTCCGGCCGTCAATCTTTTCTTTGAGAACAGCTCATTCTCCTCCTTCCACCGCCGCATCGAAACTCAATGACGCCACCCGCAAGTCCCTAACCGAAGAACAAAAATTCAATCTTGAATCTGCTCTCCATGCTTCCCTCACAACCCAAAACACAGATGAGGCCTGGAAGTCATTTAAGGCTCTCTCCAACAGCTCTTCCTTCCCAAATAAGTCCTTAGCCAATTCCCTCATCATCCACTTGGCATCCCTCTCCGACACTCAAAACCTCAAGAGGGCATTTGCGTCTGTGGTCTTCTTAATCGAAAAGAACCCATCTCTGATTTCCCATGAAACTATCGAGCACCTGTTAAATTCTATGAAGAATGCCAACACTGCCGCCCCTGCTTTTGCACTGGTCAAGTGTATGCTCAAGAATCGATTTTTTGTTCCTTTTGGCATATGGGGTAACACCGTTGTTGATATCAGTAGAAAAACAGGTACCTTGGCTGCTTATTTACCCATTTTTAATGAGATTTGTTCGATTGCTATGGATGAAAACTTGGTGTTCTTGAAACCTGATTTGGCTGCCTGTAATGCTGCTCTAGATTTTTGCTGCCGTGAGGCGGAGTCGGTCATTGCCGTCAATAAGGTTGTTGATACAATGTCAATTTTGGGTATTAGGCCAGATGAGCATACTTTTGGATTTTTAGCTTATTTGTATGCCAGAAAGGGGCTAAAAGATAAAATCCTTGAGTTAGAAGACCTTATGACTAAGTTTAAATTCCCCAATTCAAACATTTTCCGAAGTAGTTTGATTTCGGGATACATGAAATCGGGTAATTTAGAATCTGTAACAGCTACTATCATACATAGTTTAGGAGTCAATGGAGCAGAAGGTAAAATAACTTTAAGTCAAGAAACATATAGTGAAATTGTGAAAGGATTCCTTGACAATGGTGGAATCAAGAGTCTAGCTAATTTGATAGTCGAAGCACAAAAGCTGGAATCTTTTGCAGTTATTACAGTTGAAAAATCAGTTGGGTATGGTGTGATTACTGCTTGTGTTAACCTAGGATTATTGAATAAGGCACACACCATCATTGAAGAGATGAACATCCATGGGGCTTGTTTAGATGTTGGTGTCTATATCCCAATACTAAATGCATACTGCAAAGAACACAAAACAGCTGAAGCTACTCAGTTGGTTACACAAATCACCACCTCTGGTTTCCAGCTGGATGCTAGTATCTATGATTCTCTAATAGAAGCTTCCATGTCTTGCCATGATTTCCAGTCGGCTTTCTCTCTCTTCAGGGATATGAGAGAAGCTAGAATATCCGACCTGAAGGGTAGTTATTTAACCATAATGACCGGTTTAACCGAGAGCCACCGGCCTGAACTTATGTTAGCTTTCTTAGATGAGGTTGTGGAGGACCCACGGGTTGAGATAGGTACCCACGACTGGAATTCCATCATCCATGCCTTCTGCAAGGCAGGGAAGATGGAAGACGCGAGAAGGACATTCAGGAGGATGAGTTTCTTGAGGTTTGAACCAAATGCCCAAACATATCTCTCTTTGATCAATGGGTATGTGGCGGGGGAGAAATACTTCAACATTCTTTTGCTATGGACTGAGGTGAGAAAGAAGGTTTCCGTTGATGCGGAGAGAAGGTTGATGCTGGACAATGGGTTGGTTGACGCTTTTTTGTATGCTTTGGTTAAAGGAGGGTTTTTTGATGCCGTGATGCAAGTGGTGGAGAAATCTCAAGAGATGAAGATATTCGTAGATAAGTGGAGGTATAAGCAAGCTTTCATGGAAAAGCATAAGAAAATAAGAGTGTCAAAGTTGAGAAAAAGGAACATGAGGAAGATGGAAGCATTGGTTGCTTTCAAGAATTGGGCTGGTCTTAATACTTGAGGAAGCCTTATAGATGATCCTCTTAGTGGCTACACGCCTTATAGTGGGGCCTGTTAAATTTTGAAGTGAACCCTCCATGCATTCATTGCCCTGACACACTTCATAGATAACTCTATTGTTCTTGATGTTGGGTCTTTCAGGCCATTCTAAGTTACACTGTTTATATTTGCTCATCCTACAAGTGATAAAGTAGAGAAGGAATTTGGATTTGGTTTATTTCACGGTGTATACTTGGTGAAACACCATCTATTACTCTAAGCCCCATCCGTGTGTAGATTTATTGTGTATGTGATCGAAATGTATGGACTGTCAGATCTCTGAAATTTTTAGTCCCGGCAAGAAGTCCATTGTGAAGAACATGGGTGGCATGTGTCTAATTATTACTGTAACTAATAGACTAATAAGCACAATACATATAAAAATATAAAAGACAAAACGCTCTACCCTGCTATTATGGAGAAATTTATTGCCAATAGAGCATACTCTTTAAGTCTTTATTATGAAATATGAATGTATCTTATGTTTGACTAAACTTAAATACATAGTGTGTTTTAAAGAAATTGCTTTTTTCTTCCAAAAAAGAAATTGCTTTTTGTTTTTTTCCCTATACTAATGTGGCTGTAAAGATTTGAAAGTTGGTTGCTCAGTTGATGGTAGAAGTAGGTGCAATTGAAAGAGTTCATTCCCTTATGATGACATAAAACCAGATAACCCAACCCTTTTGGACAACTTTTGCCCTTTGTTTCTTGAAACCGACCCTCTCTAGTCTCTAGCTTTAGCAATTAGATGAGTCCTTGTGGGTGGAACTAAATCTACTGCTTTCTGCAAAGTACTAGGACAATGGCATATACTATTGTTGGAATGGGTCATCATCACCACCAAATGAACTAAAAAACAAAATTAAAATCAACATTACTTGTTTAACCAAAAGCATATATGAAGTAGGGGTAGAACCAAAAGTGTAATTCTATCTTTTATGATATAATCTCTTTTGTATTGTATTTGTATTCGTTATACCCACTGTAAAATGTTATTGTGTGTTATACTCTGTATTATACAAGTATAAATGTATTATGCTTTTCTTTAACATTTAGCTATCATTTATTAAAAAAAAATCATAAAAATCATAAATGACCTAAAAGTATATGGGAAAGTTCCTTAAATAGGAGTAAAAGTTTTGAAATTCCAAAACATGATTGTCATGTTTTTATTCTCTAAATAAGAATAATTTCTGCCATGTTTGAAATTATCATGCTTTAAACATGGCAATTGGCAGAAATTACTCTTATTTAGGGGATAAAAAAATGAAGGATCTATTTTGGAATTTCAAAACGTTTTTACTCATTTTCAAGGAAATTTCTAAAAGAATATTTATTCCCGTGCATCGCACGAGTTACATACTAGTCTCATTAAAATTTGGACCATGATTTTGATTAATATATATTATGGAAGTTATAATTTCCAATAAATCAAAATTTTAAAGATTTGACAAAGTTTTTTGGGACGAAATAACCTCAATTATTAGTTTTCAAAATAAAAACTATCGAGCTTGACTTTTTTTTTTGTTTATAAAAACTATCGAGCTTGACTTTTTTATGAATACCTCTTAATTGTTAAATAGGTTTTCGAGGTTAAAAAGTGAATTGTGTAATCTATTTTGGGCTTTTTACTTGAATATTACTCCCTCCGTCCCCCTAATATTGGTACGGAAGGGTGTAGTGTGTTTTTTAAGAAAAATAGATTTATGAGATTGGTAATGAGTTGATAAAATAGAAATAAAGTAAAATGAATTAGAGTCACACAAATGTTACCAAATATGGTATGAGACAATAATAAAGGAACATCCAAAAATGAAAAATGGAACAATTATAGGGGGGCGGAGGGGAGTACTAAATTGAAACCAAATTCCAAAAAAGTGACAATTTTTTGAAAAGGACAAAAATGTGACCAACAAGGTCACATATATGGAAAAACATGATGTCACTGCTTTTTTATGTCACTGCCAGATTTTATGTCACTATCGTGTGTCACTATTAGATTTTTATGTCATTATAACTGCCGGAAAATTTTCTAGCAACATTTTTCGGTGAAACTGTACTCCACCGCTAGTGCCCCGTCGATCACATTTTTTCGTGTCACTACGTATTTTAATGTCACTGTCCGATTTTGATGTCACTTTCGTACATACGGATGTCACTGGCGTCGGAAAACATGTCACTATGATTGTTTCTGATGAGCAAAATTGCAGCCGCCAACACCACGGCCGATCAACCGCCACCCGCGCAACCACCACAGTTAACAACCGTCGCCCTAACCATGACCGCACCGGCCACTCCCTAGCCCACCAGCCCCCTCCCCAGCTCCACTTCAACCCACCAACCCCTGTCCAGCCCCACCACAACCCACCAGCCCGCTGCCCAGCCCCACCACAACCCACCAGCCCCCAACCCCTTCCTGAGCCCACCAACCCCTCCCCCGCAATCGCCGCCCAGCCCACCGCCACCCCCCCCACAGTCCACCAGCATCCTCACAGCCCCCATGTCAACCTCCCTGATCTGATTTCTCTCATTGTCGAAAACCTAGATCCACAATTAAACACACCATGCCTCACCATCAGTGAAAGAGAAGAAGAAAGAAGGAAAAGAAAAGTGAAGATGGTAAGTCGATGAAGTGTGCAGCGCCAAAGGAGATGAATTGAAGAGGAGGAGAAGAGCGGCGGCGAAGAGGAGAAGAAGAGCACCGTATGCGAACGAAGCAAGGAGAAGATGGTGGATTGTGTAAGTTGTGAAGGAGAGCTGAGAAGGAATAGATGCTCGATTCGGTGATGGGGAGAAGAAACTTGATGTGCGAAGGGGAGAAGAAGCTCGATGCGGCAAAAGGGGATGGATCACTTTTTTGGAAAATCAGTTTTCGGTCATGTTTTTGGAATACAAAAGGCCAGGAGTCATATGCAGGCCATTATTTCATCTATTTTCAAACAAAAAAGTGGACTTAATGAACGAAATCATTTTATACCCAGAAATGAAACCGGCCTAACGGGATACATATATGTGAACGAAACTCATTTATATACCTATATATGGACAATTGAAAATTATAAAATCGGTAAAATTCGCAATGAGTAGAAGTCAGCCCACAACGTCATAGTGAATATGGTCAAACTACAATATGCTAATCTAACCATTGGTTTATAAGGGAATTTTGGTACTTTAAAGAAAATACACAAATGATGAGCAAGTAAGAAGGAATGAAGAATGAAAGGTAGGAATGAAGAATGAAAGCATAAAAACGGTTCAACCACGTACTTCTCATGTCATTCTAGGTCTCTAGGACCATTGAAGCAATATCCACATCGAATTTGTAGAATAAATTCTTGATCATTGTTTGAAAATCATTCTTGGTTGCCGATTATTGAAAATCCGCAATATAATATAGGTAGATTCTACGGTACCTCAAGGTACCGTACATTTATCCACATGGACCAATCAGAATGATGTAGTTGAATTATTTAAATCTAAATTAAAAATGATGTAATGATTTGAACCAATCAAGTGAGTGGTAGGTACGATACCCCATTTTTTAAAAGGGTGATGGATAGTCTACTCGGGGGTATATATCCGAAGGGTTATCACGGGGAATAACTTCAGAGAGAAGTCAGAGTAAGCAAGTAAAATTAGAGAGAGAGTGTATTCAGTATGAATGCCGTTTTCAGCGTGGTTACAAATGAGGAAATGTGGTGCTATTTATAGTAGCAATAAATGCCGGGCAGGGACACGTGTCAAGCGCTCATTGGCCGAGGGGTCACCTCAACTGGTTGGCGCTGGCAGCCGCATGTGGCCGCATTTAATGCGGCTGTTGGATGGGACGTCTGTGCGGGGTACGATGATCTGTACGCATGTGAGGCGGATATCTTGTCGAGTGAGATGCCTTCGGCTATAGAGCAGTAGCCGAGGGCTCTTCCACCCGATGGCACCCTGGTGCCGAGGGCTCACAGTGCCGAGGGCTACTGTTTTCGCCGTTTTCTCCCAGTTTCTTAATTTGCTTGAGAAACCCGTTCTGTGAGAATTTAGAGCCTTCGGCCAGGGGGCCGAAGGCACCCCTGGCGCGTAGTGCGGGCTGCTTGGTACTCTGGGCGCTGTGATTTGGGCCTGTTGGGCCTTCTGGGCCTGTTGGGCCTTTGCTGGAGTAGTAGGAGTCTGTGGGCCGGGGGTTCCCGGGCCATATACTCCATCAGGAGTCCCTCACTCCTTTTACCGAAAGGTACTTGAGGGAAAAGGAGTAATTTGTGCTTGCCCTTTGATGTTGTCCCGTCATGATCTCTGAAGTTGGTGAGGAGTTGTTGCTTTTATGTCCCTGCCGAAGGCAGTCCCTCAGTTACCTACATGTCGGGACTTGAGGGCTTGCCTTGTCGTTTGTTGGAATTTCACTGATTTTGTAATTTAATGATTTTCCCGAGGGGGTCCTCCAGTCCCCCACTCCTTGAGGCACTTGTAAAGTGGTGAAAAGGAGTAAAGTAGTTACGTTGCTGTTGTGGGCCGAAGGCTGACGCTTTTCGTTTCATTTTGGGGGGATGCCTCGTTAAAAACCTCATTAGGAAAAACCCTGGGGGAAAAAATCCTAATGAGGGAAAAAGAGTGCACCGAATTCCCCCAATGATGAATCGAAAATGTGAAACCTTGGTCAGAAATGGAGAACAACGGTAATGCCGAAGGCTCTTCCTTGTTCTGAGGGCTCATGCGTTGATTAGCCGAAGGCTTGCTGTTGATGTCCTGGGGGCACCGAAGGGGAGCCCCTCAATCCGGGGATCGAGGGCCTACCAGATGAGGGCAACAGTGGAGTTGTTACCGGGGGGTCCACCGTTTGTTGATTAGTTGGTGATGAAGATACCCGAGGGCTCCCATTACCTGTGTGCCATGGGTCACCCGTCAATGAGGCAACTCCCCGGGGGCTACCCGGTTTTGAAGTGCTGAGGGGGAATCCCCGAGGGGTGCCCTGATATGAAGCCTTGAGTTTCTGAAGGGGTGATCCCGAAGGCATCTGCTATGGGCTGTGTGGGGCACAACCCGGGGGCGTCTCTGGGTAAGTGTACCCGGAGGCTCTCCTTGATGTAGCGGAGTGCAGTAGAAACCCCGGGGGCTTCCAGAATATAGCCGTTGGAAATATAGCCGTTGGAATACGTAACGTCAGGATATAGCCGTTAGGGGGGGGGGGGACACGTGGCGCGTGATGGCTGGCTGTCCGTGGGCGGCATCACTGGTTGGGTGAGGACGCGGTGTGTAATGATGGCGGTCCATCCGGAGGCCCGGAATCCAGGCCCAAGCCCGGATTCCATCGCCTATAAATACCCTAAGGCCAGGGCCATTCCCCGCTGTGCGAACTCAGTGTAGCGAAGCTCTGGCAAAAATTCTAGAGAGAGAAACTCCAGCCTTCGGTAACAACTCAGCCTTCAAGGTCAGTTCCCCCCCGCCTTTCTCCTTCTAGTTTAGCTGTGCCTTGTGCCCCTAGGTTAGGAGATAGAATTTCCTAGGAAACCTTAGTTTTCCCGAGCCTTCGAATTAGTGAGCAGATGTCATCACAGAGCGACTCCCAGGATATCTCGGGGGAGCCTTCGGTAGAGATGGAGACATGCTCAGATGTGGAGTCTTCGAGCGTGGAGTCCTCGGCAGGTGGTGATGCCGCAGTGGCCATGGAAGTGGAGAAGGACCTCCAGGCCGAAGTCGAAGCCGAGGGCTTCGAGCAAGAAAACGAGGATGAAGAGCTTGCCCTCGCCGTGCAAACCGCCGAGCAGGAAGAGGAGAGGGAGAGGCTGAAGGTGACGGTTGCCATTCCTCCCCCCCCCCGGGGTGCCGGGGAAGCCAGCTCCTCCCGGCCATTGGACCCGACGCCCATAAGTGTGGCTCCCGGGAAGAAAAACAAGACGAAGGCGGCCCCGAGGAAGAAGCAAGCGGCAGTGGATGTCGGGCGGCCGGTGGGCATACCCGAGGGCCATTCGTTCTTGAATACTGCCGCTCTAGAGAGCTGAAGAAGAAGGCGTCCCTGGCAGAATACCAGTCCACCCAGATGCTGGTTGGACCTTCGGCGCGCGTGGTGGAGCCCAGGGCGGATGATTTGCTGCGATACGCGCCCGAGGGGTGCTTTGCTGCTCACACCCTCTCGGTGGAGATGGGGCTTCGGTTCCCGCTCCATCCTTTTCTCTTGGAGTATCTGAGATTTGTGGGGTTGGCCCCTTGCCAGCTAACGCCCAACAGCCACTCCTATGTGGCCGGCTTCCTCTCCTTGTGTCAGAGCCAGGGGGTCGAGCCCACACTTGATCAATTCTTCATGTCCTTCAACCTTTGCCGGGGGGGACATTCAAATGCTGAGGGCTTTGCCAACCTTCAGCAGGTACCGGAGTTCCGGCTTTTTGATGATGTGCCCTCGTCTCACAAGGGGTGGAAAGAGATGTTCTGCTACATCCGCCTCGAGGAGAACCCCTTCCCGACCCAGCTCCGTAATAGCTTCCGGCGCCATCCGAAGGTGGGGAGCGCAGCTTTGTAGAAGAACGGCAAAGTGCTTGCCAAGAAGCCGGAGGGGTCTGACAAGCATGTCAAGATCAGAGAAGTCACCCTTCCGGAGGATTTGCTTAGCCTGGGCTTCCAGCAGTTCAGGCCGAGGGGCTCTTCGGATGAGAGATACCCTCCCCTCGATAGGGTCTTCGAAGGCGCCGGAGGTGATCACCGAATTGTTCACTGATGCGTTGATAGTTCTCTCTTATTCCGCTTTTTTTATGACGTAGTAACTGGTAGCCTTCGATCTAACCCTCCTGTTTTTTTTTGCTTGCAGGTAACAATATGGACGTTGGTTCCCTCTTCGCTTTGAAAAACGCGAAAGGGAAGAAGAAGGCCCCGGCGGGCGCTTCTGCCAGGGAGGGGCCCCCTCAAACTGCTGGCGCTGCTGCTGGCGCCGGAGGGTCCAAGGGTGCTGGGCCCGTCAAAAAGAAGATTGCTGGAAAGGGGACCGAGCCCCCGACCAAGAAGCCGAAGACCACCGCCCCTACCAAACAACCGATCACCGATGTGGTGGTGATTGTGGACGAAGGGCACGCTTCTGCCTCCACCCCCCAGGAACAAATCAATCAGGAGTTCTTTGGGCGGGAGAGGTTGGAGGCGATAATACCGAAGGGGGCCTCCGTGTTGGAGGGCAGTTTGAACCCTTCGGCTCTGATGAGCCAGATGCTGCCGTCGGCCGACCGACTGGCCCTTGCCCGGCTGGACGAGGGATCCCTCGAGGCGAAGGTCCTCCTGAATGCTGCCTCCGTAAGTCACCCTCCCTTCTTTGCTCATTGTTATGTTTTCCTTCTGTACTATGTTCATTATGCCTTATTCTTGCCTTCGTGAATTGCAGACTTTTATGGGCCTCTGCGAGCACCTCCGAAGGGTGGATCAAATGAGGGAGGCCAAGGGTGCCGCCGAGGGGAAAGCCGCCCTCCTCAGGAAGAAGCTTGCTGAAGCCGAGGACTCTCTCCGTCTGGCCACCGACGGCATGGAGCAGAGGGTGCAGGCTGCAAGGGCCGAAGGGGTCAATGAGGGGCTAGCCAGGGCCGGGGAGGCCGCCGCTGAGGCCGCCCGTATTGCTGCCGATGAAGCCCGCGCGGCTCAAGAAGAGGCCGTCTCCAAGGCCCGGGAGGATGCGGTGACCAGCTTCACGGCCGAAGGGTGGAAGGCTGAAGACCGGAGGGAGTGGCTCGCTTCGGTGGTGGGGGCTTCAGTAGACGAGTGGGTCGGGGGCCCCGGAAAGATGTGGCTTGCTGAGAGGGGCGACTCGTACTACCAAGGCGGGGAGTTCTTCACCCAACGCCTCATCTACCGGAAGCTTGCGAAGCACTTTCAGGTAGCACCGGAGGAGTTCCGTCCCGAGGCCTATGGCCTCCCCCCGTCAGCCAGATGTCAGGATCCCGCTCCCCGAGGGGGAAGAGAGACCGGTTCTCGAAGACTAGGAGACCCTCCGGGAGTGCGGCCTCGGGGGTGAAGAGGATGAAGCC